TTTATATATTAATATTAAATATGGCAACATAGTTTTGAAGCCACACTATTTTTATATTATTTGCAAGTTACAAAACTGAATTTGCTTTATTAGAAAGAGAGTTATAACATTTTAATAGTAATATTTAAACGATTAGATTATAGAGACCTACTAAAATTTATATATTAATATTAAATATGGCAACATAGTTTTAAAATCACACTATTTTTACATCATTTACAAGTTACAGAATCGAATTTTCTTTACTGGAAAGGTAATTATAACATTTTGAAAATACATAGTTTTTATTATAATAAATTTTTTTAATAAATTGATCGACAAATTTTCAAAAATCTTACATAGTGGGCCAATCATATAATGCTGCACTATGTTTGTAAATCATTTAGCGTGGAACACCCCAGGTGTATATACTGTGCTATTAATTTTTCATCCATGCCGGAGGCACGGGTTATACGCTACTCCAATTAAATTGATGTCCACATCTACAGGACATATGATCACATCCACCATTTTTCTCAATTCTAACCCTACAGTTTGGGCATTGCTTTAGTTGAGTCACGTAGGATTCGGATGCACTTTCATCATTTTGAAGTGATGCTAATCTTCTTTGCTCTTCCTCCTGCCGCCTACGTTCTTCTTCCCTTCTCCTACGTTCTTCTTCTTCCCTTCGCCTACGTTCTTCTTCTTCCTTTCGCCTACGTTCTTCTTCTTCCCTTTGCCTACGTTCTTCTTCCTCTCTTCGCCTACGTTCTTCTTCTTCCCTTCGCCTACGTTCTTCCTCCTCTCTTCGCCTACGTTCTTCTTCTTCCCTTCGCCTACGTTCTTCTTCTTCCCTTCGCCTACGCTCTTCTTCTTCCCTTTGCCTAAGTTCTTCTTCTTCTCTTTGCCTACGTTCTTCTTCCTCCTGTTTTCTGCGCTCTTCCTCTTCTCTTTGTTGACGTTCTTCTTCCTCTCTTAGTCTGCATTCTTCCTCCTCTCTTTGTCTGCGTTCTTCTTCCTCTTTTTGTTTGCGTTCTTCTTCCTGTTCGCTGCATTTTTCGCACTCAATCTCAATTGGAAGTCCATGTACAACACAGGATTTCTGTCCACACGAATTGCAAATCATTATCGGAACGTCTTTAAGGAAATAGATTTAAAGTTAACATAGAATAATAGCGTCGATAAGAATATTTAAACAGATATACAATATAATATACCTTCTTGATAATGGTCCTGCCCTGATCCACAATTCTGATTTAAGCACCATTGAAAAGTAGGAATTTGAGATAATACAAAATTTAGCGAGAATCTTTCATACCTACAGTAAAATACAAAAGTTATTTTTTTTTTCTAAAGAAACAATAAATAATTATTCGTATACGAGAGGTCCAAAAAGCGTACCGTTTAAATGTCTCCTCACTTGCGAATTTTTTTATATCTTTTTGATTCAAAATTTCGTTACATCCATCTTCTGGACATGTGATTTTAAAATTTCCATTATCTTCGAGTTCGTGCTTGATGTATTCTCCCATACATTCACGACATATATTATGGTTGTGTTTACACTGATCAGTAATATCCAAAAAGGCTTCGATATTAACACTCTCAGCGCATATTATACAATCTATTTTTATATCTATTTCTTGCAGTTGTCGACATTGCTCACATTCAATTTCAATTTGGATTCCATGCACGATACATGTTTTCTGACCACATGTATTACAAATCATTATCGGAACGTCATCTTTAAGGAATATATAACAAATTATATCATTAATGTATAACGATAATAATAATATTGTACTATAATTAGACGTTACCTCCTTGATAATGGTCTTGTCCCGATCCACATGTTGGATTTAAGCACCATTTAAAAGTAGGAATTTTCGATAACACAAAATTTAGCATATACCTGTAAAAAGAATTAATATATATATATATAAGGTTTATAACTTTTTCAAAGAAAGTAAACACCTGTTTTGATGTATGTTCTAACTAACATACCGTTCAGATACTTCGTCATTGACAAAATTTTTCACATTTTCCTCATTCAATACTTTACGGCAATTATTTTCAGGACATAATATTTTGATATTTCCTTTATTAAGTTCGCGCTCAATATGTTCTCCTACACATTTATGACACATAGAAACATCATGACCACATTGGTCTGTAATCTTCAAAAAGACTTTAATTTCGAGATTCTTTAAGCATCCAGAACATTCCTTCTTTCTGATGATTTGTTTAGGATCTTGTTGTTTGCGTTCTTCTTCAAAGAGCTTTCGCTCTTCTTTTAGAAGTTTGCGTTCTTCCTCTATCAATCTACGTTCTTTCTCTATTCTTTTTCGTTCTTCCTCTTGTTGTCTATGTTTACATTCTTCCTCATATCGATTATGTTCTTCTTCTAGCAATCTACGTTCTTCTTCCAATCGTCTGCGTTTTTCTTCCAGTTTTAACATATTTTTTTCTAACGAACTTTTCTGAGAGGTATTTTTAATGACAGTATCATGAAAAAAGAATTCTTTGGGATAGCCCTCATCATATAAATATTGATACCTGCTATTAGCCCAAAAGGTATGTCCTTCAACATCAAATCGCGCAAGAAATTCAAGGTATAAGAGTGCGTCAGGAATTTTAAAGACAGAAATTTCAAAATAATATAATTCTTCATTATTAGAATGAGTGTGTGATCGTATTGCAATTACGTTATTACCGGTGGTCCAAGAATTAAAACTGTATTCTATCATCACTATTTTTTCTTTATGGTTATTAAAATGTTGTATAATAACTTGCCCGTAAAGATCAATAAACCCATCTTTTTCACCAGTAACCTTTATAGATTTTAAGAATATTTTATCGGACATTTAGAAAAGTTGTTTTGTTTAATTACAAATTTGCAAATAAAATAATATTGTGTCCAATTAAACGTCTAATGAAACATTGATATTTATATAATTTATTTATACTAACACTAAATAGTCTACCATTTTCACTTAGACTTTTTATGCACAGTCCTTTGAAGATCTGAACTGGATCAAGCGAAGATAATAACGATTTCCTTTTCAATCAATGACGTACATTTTGAATTTTCGAATCTTTTTGAACAAATTTCCGTACGTACGTACCTTCACGACCATTTATGAATTAAGCTAAAAAATTTGGCCACTAAGTTCAAGTATTTAGATCCTAAATTTAAATTTTATTTACCAAATTACATGTTAACTAACCTTAGAGAAAATTTTTTGAGTCTCTAATCTATATATCAATAGCTCGTTTAACCCATCC